TTACTTAATTCAGTCAATTGAACTCTAGAGGGTCCTATGAAATCCATATATATATCAAATAGAACATAAGTGGGATTAATTCCAATAAAACCGCCCACCTCTAAACTCCAATTTCTTTTTGGGGCTAGTATTTACCTATGCTAGGTAAAATAACATCTTAATTTTAAGGATGGTACATGCACACAATTAATACTATGAGAAATAGTCACAAGTTAATGTCCATTCAAATAATGGACTCAACTCCCTCCCCCTCTCACACTACACTCGCTGGCTCTTCCCTCTCAGAGAAATTTTTGGGGGAAAAACCACTAAATTTTAATAAATAATACCTCAAACTAAGTTAGGATAATACAATTGACATTGCTGGATTCCTTGTAAGACCAGGAATATTTTGAATATAAATGTCATATATTTTGCACAAAAGATAACATAGTTACCTAGAGAAAAATTTTTATCTAAAATTTGTATGTTTAATGAAAAATATATGATGTTTATATTCAAAATGATCACCAAATTATAAGAATTCCAGCAATGTAAATTATATTCTGACCGGGTAATTTGTATGAATTTTATGAGCTAAAACAAATATCTTCAGTTAATAAAAAAAAAAATAATCTTCACGACACCATCTGTCAATCAAAGTACCCCACCTTGCCTCGCCCCCTCTTCCAACCGCGCGGTCAGTCCCAACCCTCCCCCCCACCCCCCACCAATCCTCCCTTCCAGGGTTTTTAACATTTAGTATTAAATAATACCTCAGATTAAAGTTAGGATTATATAATTGACATTGCTGGATTCCTTGTAAGACCAGGAATATTTTGAATATAAATGTCATATATTTTGCACAAAAGATAACATAGTTAATTTGAGAAAAAATTTTATCTAAAATTTGTATGTCTAATGCAAAATATATGATGTTTATATTCAAAATGATCATCAAATTATAAGAATTCCAGCAATGTAAATTATATTCAGACCGGGTAATTTGTATGAATTTTATGAGCTAAAACAAATATCTTCAGTTAAAAAAAAATAATTCTTCACCGGGTAACAGATGGTCGGTCGGTTGGTCCCTCCCTCCCCCCCACCCCCCACCAACCGTCCCAAGGAGATGTGTGGGATAACCACTAAATTTTAATAAATAATACCTCAAACTAAAGTTAGGATAATATAATTGACATTGCTGGATTCCTTGTAAGACCAGGAATATTTTGAATATAAATGTCATATATTTTGCACAAAAGATAACATAGTTAATTTGAGAAAAAATTTTATCTAAAATTTGTATGTCTAATGCAAAAATATGATGTTTATATTCAAAATGATCACCAAATTATAAGAATTCCAGCAATGTAAATTATATTCTGGCCAGGTAGTTTGTATGAATTTTATGAGCTAAAACAGGCAGTCAGGCAGGGTGGGGCAAATCTAAAAATAACGTCTGGAGCCAGACACTCACCGCGTATATGTGGAAAAAATCCGTGTTAAGTGAAAGTTCAACTCTGGCGAGGCACCGCGTATATGATAAAACGCGTTAAGTGAAACCGCGTTAGGCGGGGTAATACTGTATATATAAATATATATATAAATATATATATATATATATATATATATATATATATATATATATATATATATATATATATATATATATATATATATATATATATATATATATACTCACTCACTCACTCACTCACTCACCACCACTCACTCTCTCTCCACCTATGACCTACTTCGACTTACCCACACCAAGAATTACTTGCCCTAGGCAAAATTAAAATTTGGTCAAATTACGCATTTTCGAGTCCCTAAGTCAGTACACAGACAAAATTTTCATCTGTAATTCACTTTAAAATGGCTGGCAAGCATAAAATTGAGTGTTTTGTGGTGCTGAGAAGAAAAAAAGACAACCATTTTCGATTTTCTATGTGTTAAAAATTTAAATATTTCCTACTTACGACCATTTCGACTTTCGACCTGGATGTCGGTCCCTAGTTCCTTCGTAAGTCAGGTAACACTGTGTTTGTGTGTGTGTGTATATATATATATATATATATATATATATATATATATATATATATATATATATATATATATATATATATATATATATATATATATATATATATATATATATATATATATATATATATATATATATATGCTGATAACCACAAGGAAAGAAGAAAACACGAAGTTCCCAAGCGCTTTCGTGTAATTCACATCTTCAGGGGTGAGTACAGACTAGAGAGAGTAATACAAATCAAGGTGTATATATACAGAGGAGGGTGAGACCAGGTCCACAATGGTCAGGTATTAGGTAATGACCCTACTAATCTTTAAATAGCACACAACGGTTGGTGGTCAGGTCAGATGGTCAAGTGACCCGGCCTTCTCACCTGATCACAAATCTTCTTAATTACAAAATTGTCCAGCTTGTACATGCCGTTACTCAAATTCATGTTGAATGCTTCGGTATGTTTAATAAGACTAGATTCTATGATGTTCCTACTGTCAATTGACTAATGTGTGTTCATACATTCATTATTATTCTGCCCACCATAATAAAGTCAAACAGTCAGTATTTTCAACAATGTTTTTACGTGCCTTGAGAATTTGCAGTCCGGAATTCATCGATGAGGAATACAAATATATATATATAATATTGGCTCAAACCTTAAATACCCTAGATCTTTCATAGACAAATGCTTAAACATTACTAAGAAAACTTTTTATAGAACTGACCCCAAGCCCACCCATGACCATAAGAATATCTTAATATTACCATTACACAAAAATTTCTCACACATTCCTGCACAGCTAAAAACCTGGAACGTCAATGTGGCATTTAAAAACTCATGCACTGTTAAACAAATGTTAATCAAGAACTCCCCCAACAACACAATTGGTTGCATTTATAAAGTTCCTTGCAAGGAATGTAATATGTTTTACTTAGGCCAGACAGGTAAAGATCTTGCAACTAGAATTAAACAACACAAATACAGTGTTAGGACAGGCCAGGAATCCAATGCTCTGTTTGTTCATTTGAGGGATAACAAGCATTGCATTGACTGGGATAATGCCTCCTCAATATTACCTTGCAATTCAATTGATAGTAGGAACATTATAGAATCTAGTCTCATTAAACATACCGAAGCATTCAACATGAATTTGAGTAACGGCATGTACAAGCTGGACAATTTTGTAATTAAGAAGATTTGTGATCAGGTGAGAAGGCCGGGTCACTTGACCATCTGACCTGACCACCAACCGTTGTGTGCTATTTAAAGATTAGTAGGGTCATTACCTAATACCTGACCATTGTGGACCTGGTCTCACCCTCCTCTGTATATATACACCTTGATTTGTATTACTCTCTCTAGTCTGTACTCACCCCTGAAGATGTGAATTACACGAAAGCGCTTGGGAACTTCGTGTTTTCTTCTTTCCTTGTGGTTATCAGCATATACCTATCATATATATATATATATATATATATATATATATATATATATATATATATATATATATATATATATATATATATATATATATATATATATATATATATATATATATATATATATATATATATATATATATATATATATATATATATAGTATATATATATATATACAGTATATATATATATATATATATATATATATATATATACTGTATATATAATTATATACTGTATATATAATTTTTTTTTAACTAGAAAATAAAAATAAAAATGTGAGTGAATTAAAAATTTCAGTAATTTGCTGGGCGTTCTTTGATTTGTTGTCAATGCTTAAAGAATCTTAGTTGAAAATTACATTCAGATTTGGTTGTACAAAGTGTGTTTGTACTAGTGATATAGTTCAGGCAACTGAGTTCAAGATCATTAAAAGTTGAGACTCAGACCATTAGCAGGTGAAACTGAGACCATTAGAAGTTGAAATGGAGAACTTTAGAAGTTGAGACTAAGACCTTTAGAAGTTCAAACAGACTTTTAAACGTTGAAACTACGACCTTTAGAAGTTCAAACCGAGACCTTTAGAAGTTGAAACTGACTTTAAATGTTGAAACAGTCTTTAGAGTTGAAATGGAGACCTTTAGAAGTTAAAACTGAGACCTATAGAAATTGAGGCTGAGACCTTTAGAAGTTGAGACTAAAGGGTGCATCACACTGGCATTCTTTCGTCAATTTTTTTTAAACTTTCAGAAAATCATCAGTCTTTTTGTTGTCGACCGTCACACATGCATTTAGAACCAACTCGACAGAATTCATCCTTCGAGAACTGTCAACAAACAAGGTGGATCCAGCTGACGAAGAAAGCACAACAATTCGACGCTTTGTCAAGGCTGTTTTCCAACGTTGATGGGCTAAAAAGCGTAAAAGATATACCAATAGCCTTAAGATTTACCATTACTCCATACACAAGACAGGAAGCGTAGTTAATAGCTTCCCTGCTGTGGTGTTTTGAAGCTCTGGAAACTCTTGCTGGTGGAATTATTTCATTATAGGCCTTCCTCTTCAGGCCTATTTTGGTGTATGAAGAGCTGGTGATCCCAGAGACAGTGGCACTGCTGTATCTGGTCCACTAGGAACTCCTCTCAGAGGCGTGTCCATTCTTGGGAAATTATTATATCTATTGGCTCCATTATGCTGTTATTCCCGTGTGGTCAAAATGTAAACGATGAATTACATTTTCTTACCTTTTAGAAATACAAAATTAAACAATAATGAGTAATTTTGGGAAGAAGAGTAATATTTACTTCACAAAAATTTTAGCTTCACATTTTAAGTAAAAATTAGTTTATTTTTTATAACTATTTGTAGTATCAATTATAGATCTTGAGTTGATTCCGGTAAGTTATCGTACGAGTCGTCAGTGCAGACGGTCTGCACCGTTTGACAAAAGTCAACGACGTTAGACAATTCATGAAAAAAATCGACTAAATGAAAAAGATGACAATACAAATGCTAGTATGATGCCGCCATAAGACTTTAAGGGTTGAGGCTGAGATCTTCAGAAGTTGAGGCTGAGATCTTCAGAAGTTGAGGCTGAGATCTTCGGAAGTTGAGGCTGAGATCTTTAGAAGTTGAGGCTGAGACCCTTAGAAGTTGAGGCTTAGATCCTTAGAAGTTGAGGCTGAGATCTTTAGAAGTTGAGGCTGAGATCTGTAGAAGTTAAGGCTGAGACCCTTAGAAGTTGAGGCTGAGACCCTTAGAAGTTGAGGCTGAGACCCTTAGAAGTTGAGGCTGAGACCCTTAGAAGTTAAGGCTGAGACCCTTAGAAGTTAAGGCTGAGATCCTTAGAAGTTAAGGCTGAGATCCTTAGAAGTTGAGGCTGAGATCTTTAGAAGTTGAGGCTGAGATCTGTAGAAGTTAAGGCTGAGACCCTTAGAAGTTGAGGCTGAGATCTTTAGAAGTTGAGGCTGAGACCCTTAGAAGTTGAGGCTGAGATCTTTAGAAGTTGAGGCTGAGATCTTTAGAAGTTGAGGCTGAGACCCTTAGAAGTTGGGGCTTAGATCCTTAGAAGTTAAGGCTGAGATCTTTAGAAGTTGAGGCTGAGACCCTTAGAAGTTGAGGCTGACACCCTTAGAAGTTGAGACAGAGACCTTTACAAGTTGTAATAGAGACCTTTAGAAATTGAGGCAGACCTTTAGAAGTTCAAAATGAGACCTTTAGAAGTTAAGACTGAGACATTTAGAATTTGAGACAGAGACCGTGAAAAATTGAGACAGACCTTTCAATTTGAAACTGTAACCATTAGAAGTTGAAACACAGCTTTAGAAGTTGAGATTGAGATCTTTTGAAGTTAAGACTGAGACCTGTAGAAGTTGAAACTGAGACCTTTAGAAGTTGAGACGGGTGACCTTTAGAAGTTGAGACTGAAGCCTTTAGAAGTTGAAACAGATCTTTAGAATTTGAAACTGAGACCTTAAGAAGTTGAATCTGTGACCTTTTGAAGTTTAAACTGAGACCTTTAGAAGTTGAGATTGAGAAGGAGACATTTAGAAGTGAGACTTGCACCTGATTGCCTCTTTCCACTCATCTTGAATAATACTGCACAGTACAATACATGTACAGTATACACAGTCTAGGAAAGAGAGGCACAGCTGATCATAGGCTGGAGATTTAAACAGACCGAAACCCTTGGTTGTGTTTGTTGTTGGACCAATGCCACTTTGTGGCTACCAAAAAGAATGAACATGATTTTTTTGTATTTATTTATTTATTTATTTTTTTTATACAAAAATTCTGTAAGGGCAAGTTTTTTTCTGATGCCTAAAATTTTGGTTACAATTTCAAATTTCCGTAAGGGCAAAATCCGTACCAGGGATTTTGTAACGCGGAGTTGCCTGTATGTTAACACAATGCTTGAAGGCGTTGTCAAACACTTCAGGCAAGCAGGATGATGTTTTATGAAACAAACCACACCTAAGTCACCGGGTGCTGAAAAAATTTCCCAGTACAGTCAGTTCTGCTATAACGCAATAGTTGTGTTCTTGTAAAACCTCGCGTTCTAGAAATTCGCGCAAAAGAAATAACAGGGCTTATGGAGAAAATAGGGTTAGGTGCAGATTACTCGAAATCGAAAAAAATTTAGTAGTTAGCCTAACACAAAGGATAACACAGTCTAAATAAATGTTACATTCATATCCTAATAATGAAATCATACAGTAAATGTTACACTTTACCTTGAAAAAATATGAATATAACTTGATGGGGGAGAAGGACGATGTTGAGGTTGAGGAGTCATGCAGACAGGAGTTGAGAGTTGTCATCGTCATCATCAGGTGCAGTTTTGGTTGCATGGGAGGGACAAAAAAAGCTTCTAATTCCAGAAGTGGATGGCTGTGGTTCAGTGTCTTCAGACTGTGGTTCATTCTGCTTCTTGGGGGTTGACTTAAAAAAGACGTCTAATGTTTGCTGCTTTGCCGTCTTTCTTCTTTCACAAAGAAGCTGTTCATATGGTGCCAAAAAAGATTTAACACCACGAACTGCAATCCTGCTTCTTTCTGCATTGTAGTTATTGTCTTCCAATATCTGCAACTGCTTATCAACTTCCCCCAGGATTGAAGACAAAACAGAAGTGGGAAGCTCTCGTGGTTTTACATCCTTGACTTCATCATCTTCAGCATCTTCTATTTCCCCAGCAGCAACTAGTTGTTGTAGATCAGTTGTAGAGAGGTCTTCACAGTGGGACTCGAGCAGTTCCTCAACATCAGCACTTTCCACTTCAGCAAAGCCAACTTGCTTTGCAAGAGAAACACAATTTTCTTTTATTTTTGGGAGCTCCTCTGATGCATCAAAGCCTGTAAAATCATGAATTAAATCTGGGAGAAGTTTCTGCCAAACTCCACTCAAGCAGTCCTTACTTACTTCACCCCAGGCCTCCACAATGATGTCAATTGCATGCTTGATGTTGAAACTTTCCCAAAACTGAAGAACACTGGTCATATCATTTCCTTCCTCAGTAGCTGCAATAAGTTTCTTAAATGTACGCCTCAAATAATAGGCTTTGAAGGCTGCTGTTACTTCTTGGTCCATTGTTTGAAGGAGAGATGTTGTATTTGGAGGTAGAAAGAGCACTTTGATATTGTCAGAAAGCTCAGCAATGGTGGGAGGGCGGCTTGGCACATTATCTAAAATGCGGAGAATCTTAAAATCTATATTCTTCTTCTTGCAATAATTTGTCAAATATTTTCAAAAACATCCACAAGAAGATCAGAAAAAATTTGTCCCATCATTCAACCTTTTTTGCTTGACCTAAAGTGAACACCTAGAGTAAACTTTATGTAACCCTTTAAAGCTCGCAGGTTGACAGAGTGATACACCAGCACAGGCTTAGGCTTCAAGTCTCCACTAGCATTTGCACCCAACAACACTGTCATGCGGTCCTTCGCAGCCTTAAAGCCTGGAGCATGTGCTTCATTCTTGGAAATGTAAGTTCTTGTTGGCATGCGCTTCCAGTATAAACCTGTTTCATCCAAATTAAAAATTTGGTCTAATGTGTAGCCTTCCTGAATCAATTTCTTTACAGTGGGAGGAAATGCCCGCGTACTTTCTTCGTCGGCACTGGCTGCTTCACCACATAACTTTACATTATGAAACGCATAGCGGTTCTTAAAACCAGAAAACCATCCACTACTAGCACTAAAGGCAATCACATCAGCAGGATTTCAGCTTTTTTCTTTAGGTCCTCATATTTTTATAAGGCTTTCCCTTTAATGGTGAGGAAGCTGGTCCCAGATTGCTTTTTTGTTTGATCTTCTATCCTAACACTCAGAAGCCATTCCATCTCCTCAAGTTCCTTTGGCCGTGATCTCACACTTTTGCTCGCACTCAAAGTTTTTCCAGCAATACAGCTTGCTTTAATCTTTCCTGCATTGTCTCTAATGGTGCGTAAAGTAGACTCCTTTATTCCCGTTGCACGCACAATATCACATGTTCTTTCCTTATTTTCAAAACGCTTGACAATTTCAAGTGTTATAGCCTTTCTTTTATGATCACCACCGCAAATGCGATCACCAGAACTCTTCCCGGAGATATTCTTCTTTTCCATATTCACAAAATTGGAGAAACAGTTCGCAAAATCACTGAGAACGCTTCAAAACTTCCCACGTGTTTCAAACTAATCGTGTGTGATGTAAACAGAGCGCGCGGGTGTAAAACACTACGTATTTTGTTTTTGTCTTTTATTTAAAATTTTACAATTTACATATACTGTACAGGTATACTGTATACATAAATATTACATAAATTATTTCTGCATTTCTTCACAAACAAAACACATAAATCAATTGAACATGTGATGTCGAACATGAACTGTAAACACTGCATAACCCCACGCCAAGCGACAACTCTGTACACTTAAAACGCTACGTACTGTCGACCCTCGTTAATTCGGACTCCTTTAATCCGGATTTCGGATAAATCGGACGAAATCTGAACTGTCCATATCAAATTTCTGGTTCTGGGATTGTCCCAGTTGCAATTGGGGTTGCAATTTCAAATTCTGTGTCACTACTAAGGAATAACGAAGTCTCTGGTGCACTGCACTCCAAGATTAAGAGAAAACGGACGGTTCAGGCGTCCTGAAGTGAGAGAAAACGGACTCCTATGACGGGGCACTCAAATAAACATACACATAGCTACATGTTTTGTGGACTACCCACTGTACAGTATCCTTTTGATCACTTTGTAATAAACCTAGTCATGCCTATGTGTGTTTCTGATAATTACCATAACATTATATATTTATATATTTAGCGGTTGTACAAACACAAGGCCTCACACATGCCACTCAGACTGACAGACTTGACAAGTTTTACCAACCATAAAGACAGTTGAAACTTTAAACATCACTTACAATGGATCTTGAATATTCCAACTGTGATCAGACATACCTAAGTTGCCTCAACAATTGCAACCCCAGTTGCAATATCAAATTCTGTGTCATTACTAAGGAATAACGAAGTCTCTGGTGCACTGCACTCCAAGGTTAAGAGAAAACGGAGGACTCAGGCCTCCTGAAATGAGAGAAAACGGACTCCTATGACGGGGCACTCAACATACACATAGCTGTATAATGCAATATTATGCAATATTAACCCCTAAATTGGTTAATTCGGACAATCGGCTAAAACGGACACCCTTCCCCCCCCCTTTTTGTCCATTTTAGCGTGGGTCGACTGTATTTTATTTTTCTCTTTTATTTAAAATTTTACAATTTACATATACTGTACAGGTATACTGTATACATAAATTATTTCTGCAATTCTTCGCAAACAAAACACATAAATCAATTGAACATGTGATGTTGAACGTGAACTGTAAACACTGCATGACCCCGCGCCAAGCGACTATAATGTATACGTACACTTAAACCGTTCGAGTGGAATCGCGTTCAGCCAACACGCGTTCGCGTTTTACAAATATCATTTTTCTATTCATCAATCGCGTTACAGCCAATTCGCGTTGACAAAACACGCGTTATAGCTGTACTCACTGTACCCGAAAAAATTCCAGGAATTGGGGATTTTTTCAGGGTTTGAGAGATGAAATAATGTGTCATTCTGGAAAAGACCGAGAAAGCTATGGTGCCCGAGAAATTCCGGGGATGTGGGATTATTGCAATCATGAAATGCGCAATTTCCGGAGTACAGTAAAGCCTCGAATAACGATGTTAATGTGTCCTCCAATATTGCAGTGTAAGGTGAATCATTGTATTGCAAAGCATTAATTACCATCAAAATAAAGCAATAATAATGAGATGTGTTCCCAAGTGTGACCTTTTCATATCTTTTGTGTGGCTTTTTACCCTCTTTTACCCAAAAAACAATACATTTAATGAAAATTGCAAACTATATTCTTTAAATAATGTACCTTATACAATATAAATGAATAATAATATGGTCACACAATAGGAGATGGGACGCCATTGTTTTCATTTGTGTTTACAGCCAGGAGTCCAGGACGATAGTTGTACATGAGAAAATGAAGAAAATAACCCCTGGTTGTAGCTGTAGTAAAATTAATGTAAAAAAATTAATATACAGCTCCTCCCTGACTTAGGATGGGGTTAGGGACCCAAATCCAGGTCATAAATCGAAATGGGCGTAAGTCGAAAATGCTTAATTAATACATAGAAAATCTAAAATGGGTGTCTCTTTTTCTTCTTGGCACCACAAAACTCACTTTTAAGCTTGCCAGCCACTTTAAAGCGAATTACAAAAGAAAATTTTGTCAGTACACAGCGCAATCGCTGACGTTCGGACTCGAAAATACGTTTTTTGACAAAATTTTAGTACGACTGAGGCAGTCGTATGTCCGGGTGGTCGTAAGTTGCGTAGGTCGTAAGTCGGGGAGGAGCTGCATATGTTTTAAGTAACATTATTTAATGTTAATAAATGGAACAATAGAAGTAGCTAAACACTAATGGCAAAGAAAAAAAGAGATGGATTGGGAGCGACAACATATACGTACGCATTTAAGGATACTGCGTCATTTATCGTTCTAAGAATATGTACAACAGATTCATTATTGTTTATTACTGAATATGTATTTGATTGAATTAATCTTTATATATGCGAAATGAACAATACAATTCATTAATAATACGTAGAATATTAAAACACACAAGAGGATAAGAGACGGCATTGTTGTCAGTGCTTACACCCATAATGTCAGTTATCCACCTGAAACTGAAGAAAATAAGACCCTGGTTGTTGTTGTAGTAAAATTAATGTAAAAAATATGTATGTTTTAATTAATTTTATTTAAGGTACAATAGAAGTAACCACTGATATTAAAGAAAAAAGTGAGACTGATAGTGGAACGCTAATGTATACAGTACAGTAAGTGCGCACTCAAGGAAACATACTCATTTATCTTAAGAATATGTACAAAAGATTCATTATTGTTATTTACTGAATATGTATTTGATTGAATTAATCTTTATATATGTGAAATGAACAATGCAATTCATTAATAATTCATAGAATATTAAAACACACACAACGGCATTGTTTTCGTGAGTGATGATGGTTCTACAGAAGAAACTGAAGAAAATAAAATCCTGGTTGTAGCTGTAGTGAACTAAATTTAAAAAAAAAAAATAATACCTGTATGTATGTTTTAAGTAATATTATTTAATGTTAATAAATGGAACACTAGAAGTAGCTAACCACTAATGGTAAAGAAATAAAGCGAGAAGATTGGGAACGCCAACTTATGTACAGTAATGGCGTACATGTAAAAACATATTGTCATACATGAATATGAAAGCAACACTTATTTACTGTTCATATATGTTTTAAATAATATTTACAAATGTAAAACAAAAATTCTACTCACCAATGGTGGTTAAGTCTAAAACATTCGGACAGCTAAGGAATATTGTGTGAGTTTTTACTCAGATGACGAAGTCATCAGGTTCAACTCTGGCTGAAGCTGTAGCTTTTCATAAGCTGTTCCTGAAACTGTTACTGAACCTGAGGTTGATGTTGAAGCTACTTATGATGCTGAATTTGATGGTTTAGGCCTTCGAATAATAATGCTGTCGAAAGAACCTTGCACAGCTGCTTTCTTTTCTCATTATACATCTTTACGTAGAGGTCATTTGTGTTTATTTAAATTGTAATGCTTTGTTCTGTTAATGGATCCACTTCAGAAAATATGTTCATTGCTTGCTCCATATAACATCCACAGACCTCTCACCTTTTTCATATCGTTTTAACACATCTAGTTTCTCGGCTAAGTTTATACACTTTCTTTTAGTTTTTGAAGGAGCACTACCATCACTTGCTCTCTTGCTCATGTTGAATAGGGATGCAAAAATGCTGTAAGAAACCTGAGAAAGGTTTTCTCCTTTTCCTGTTCATATGCTTGAAAACAAAGGGCCCGCCAGCTGCGATTGTTTATACTAGTGATGCGTCGCCACTAACAAGCCCGGCAGCCTCTGTGCGCAAGGCATGTTTCTTTTTTTATAATATCGGGATTTAGTTATTATATATACGAAAATATTATATATTTTTTAAATTTTGTTAATAAAAAAAAATAATCGCGTAAATTGAATTGGGTCCTAAATTAACTTTACTATACTGTATCTTGTTATGATCTTGCTGTAAGCTTATTTGCACAAAAAGCTCTCACATGAATGCATCCTGAGTAAATACTTTCTATACAGGAGGGGAGAGGGAGGTGGGGTATTTTGATTGACAGACAGTGTCTGGGTGAAGTATAATTTGTTTATTTACTGAAGATATTTGTTTTAACTCATAAAATTCATACAAATTTCCCGGCCAGAATATAATTTACATTGCTGGAATTCTTATAAGATTGTGATTACTTTAAATATAAACATCATAAAATTTGCATTAGACATACAAATTTTTGATCGAATTTAAGAAATTTATTAGAAAGAGCAAAAATTTTATTTTTTGTGCAAAATATATGACGT